GCAAACGCATCCGACATGCTGACGGCGGACGAAATCCCGCAAGGGACTCTTACCTCATCTTCAAACGCACCAGCAATCTGATCAGCAACTTCATGAACCAGAATGTGGGACAGGTTGAAGCTCAAAGCCGCCGCCTCCGCACTCTTAATAGGACTAGGGACCCAGGGCACAATTAGATCCTGCGAACCATACAGTGCCTGGACGCTGCCCTAGGGGTCCTTGTGAGTCTGAATCGTGGAAGAGGTGCCAGAAAGCACCCACGGGCAACGCACGCAGAATCCATAATGTACCACAAGGAGGACCCCGCGAGGGCCTGCTCGAGAAACTGGAGCATAGCCCGAAGCTCACCACGATTCACACTTCGCTCACCAGAGATGCCGTTGCCAGCAACGAAGGCCAGGTTCGCCGCCGTCACCGAAGAGCGCAACTGCTCCAGACTGTGGCGGAAACCATCCGCGCCCCAGGAAGCACGCCGGAGCCTGCGGCCCCTGGAAAGCCTGCCGCCGCCAGCACCACCCGCCCCCGACACCCAGAGGCGACGATAGGGGCGTATAGCCCAGGGGAGAGCAATACATGGATTCAGATGCGCCGATGATCTATGTCTTCGAAACGGCTCCCGGGCGAATACGTGTCCAGTCAACCCGCAGAGTAAGGACAGGCAACCTTCCCGAGGGTACCCTTGCATCCTTGTTTCCTCGATGCATCCTTCGCCGCTTTTGCTGGCCGCGTCCCGCTCGAAAAGCTCCGAAAGGGACCTCCAAGGCCCTTGCACCCTTGTCGCGCATCCTTGCTGTACCGGTTGACTGTAAGGCCCGCCCCTGGGCTACTCGCCCCTCTCGTCGCCGCCAAGACACCCGGCCCTCCGACTCCAAGGAGCCAAAAAGGCCCCAGAAGCGACGCGCAAGGGCTTGGCATCGCTCGGACGCGTGCATTTTGCCTTCGGCGAGGGCCATCGGGGAGCATCCTTGATCAGTTGGCGAAAAAAACACGCACGAAACCGAAAAAAACACGGGGAATGGACGTCCGAGCGATGGCCAGAGGGGGGGCGTCCGGCGGCGGCGGCGGGGCGTGGGCCCAAGAGGCAGGGGCGAGGCCTCGAGGCCACCGGAGAGGGCACTCTGCCGACGCCCCTGCCCCCCCTTGCCAAGCAAAGCAGGAGGGAGCAACAACACACAGACACGATTCATCGTCGAGTCCCCAGGGCAGATGGGAAGCTATGGGAAGTGGGGGGAAGACAAACACCCAGAACAGATGGGAAAATACAGGGAATCCTGTTATTTGTGTGTGTGTTTATTTGTGTGTCCCAGGGTCCCTTCAGCTAAGGCCCCCCAGATCTGGTGAAACTCGCTAGGGCACGGACACGCCCGGGACCTGCCAACATGGGTTTCCAGGCAAGTGCTACATCGGGCACAGACGCTGTCGCATCCCCCTTGTTCCGCAGCTCAAAAATACGGGATTGTGTCCAGAGTTCCTGGTGCAAGCTGCCCTGAGGAGGCCCGCCTTCCTCCGGGCCGCCGTTTCCTAAGGGACGCGATGTGGGCGCGGGCAGAAGCAGAATCAATGCCCTGATCCCGCCCCGAGACGATGCGAACTTGGGACGCCCCCTGTTCAAAGCCTCCCCCGAGATCGAAGCGGCCACCTCGGTTTCGAGCCCACGCGTCATGTAAGCTCGCCGGCGACTTTAATCTGGCGTGGCGAACTCATCCCCGCTCGTGGCGGCCCCTCTCAATGGCCCCCATCCAGTGTCCATCCGAGGTCGAATGTAGCCGCCACGAACGCCGAAACAGGGCCCTTGATCTTGCGCCATCTACGCGGGGCGGGGGGGAGGCGGCTAATCTTGCTAACCGTCTCCGACCAGCACCCGTGCATGCGACTCTCGGCACGACCAGGAATGCTCGGCGCAATCCGAAACCAAGACACCCAAATCATAGGCACCCAGGTGAAGGCAGGGCCCTTTGGCCCGGCCTCCGCGCAAGAAGGGTGGTCAAGCATCCTGCCGCACTGCTGCCGATGACCGCGCTGGCGAGAGCTCTTCTCCACTTTAACCTGCTGTGGCAGCGCCCGCCCTCCCGTGGCACGGGGGGGTGCCTCTGGGACACGGCCCCCGTGCAGCACCCTTTTGGGGCCAGGGAAGTGCCTCTGAGCTGTGGGCCATGGCCTCTGGGACATGGCCTCTGGGGCGTGCCTCCGGGCACACCCTGCCCTGGCCCTGAGATCCCTGACCCGTGACCCCCTGTAGCCATAGCACCCTGGCGCCCTGACCCTAGCACGCCGACACTCCAGCGGCCCCATGCTAGGGGGCCACATGCGAACCCTACCCTTGCCCCCCACGATTTCTGAGGGGGAGGGGGAGGGTTCGCATGTGGCCCCCCACATGGCCCCAGCACCCTGGACCCTGACACTGCCCCCCCGTCGGCGTCCTCCCTGGCCTCTCGGGGGCCCTCTCGGCGGGCTCGCGGGGGCCTCCAGGGGAGGCACTCGGTGCCGCAGCGGTGCCACTCCGAGAGCTCGCGGTGGACTGCGCTGGAGCCTCCAGGGGACCTCTTGTGTGTCTCGCCCGACACGGCAGCTTTTGGCACAATCCCGAGGCCACGGCCTCACCCTCATGATGTCAGCGAGGCCCAGGCGCCTATCCGCAGTGGTGGTCGTTCGTCGTTCCTTCCAGGGGGCCTCCCGAACGCACTCGCCTACCCGAGAGCGGGCTTTGGTGTTGAGCCTCCCCGCAGAGGGCCTTCGCCCGAACTGGCCGCGTTTCCACAGGTGGAGGTCTGCCGCAGCAGGACGGCTTGAGGCGTTCAAGCAGGCGTCCCAGGGGGGCTTCCAGCAGACCCTCATCTTCCTCACCAGAAAGGGTCGCGCAGGACGCCGGTGTGGGACTGCGAACCAGGTCCGCGAACCTGTGACGAGGAGGGGCCCGAGAAAGTTCAAAAGGCCGCAATCTGGCCACCCAGCTGCGGCACGGTACTCATGTTGAGCAGGGTTATCGCCCCCTTGAGAGGCAGCGGATCGGTCGGTGTCCGCTCCAATCTTCTTCCTCCCAAAACAATAACAACGACGACGACGACGACAACAACACCAACAACAGTCAGTTTAAGACTGTTCGCTCCTATTTGCTCGCGTGGCATTCAACAAGTATGTCACAAACCCTCGAAACCCGCCCTCTTCGTCTTCGATCGTGTCCCCTTGGGGGTATATCTGCCTCACTTGCCACGTGCATGCAGTGCAGCCCCTAAAACAAGGGAAGAGGGGACGGATGGAAGGGGGGGGAAAGATGGAGCACGAGAGAAATTAGTAACAGGGGGGCTAGGCGCAGAAATCACGTGGCAGAACCGGACGGGCCCATCGGGCGGGCTTGCCCTAGCGGACGGGTAGGGAAGGCGGGTCCTGGCGGCCAGGTCGAACAGGCGGGTTGCTGAAGCGCGAGTCCTACATGAATCGCGAGGGAATCTGGAGCGACAGCGCGATTCCTAGGTAATTCGTGAGAAAGGCTCGCGCGAGAGTGTGATTCCTGAGTGTCGAGGGCGCAGCGTCTGAATTCAACGCGAGAGCGCGATTCTGGTATGGATTGTGAGGAAGTCTTGCGCGAGAGCGCGATGTTTCTATATATTGGGGAAGTATCAGGTGGGAGTCCTTGTGATTGTAAGCCAGGGGCCAAGAACACAGTTTGCGCAGGTACATTTTTCCTATAAGACAAGAGTGCGGGCTCCGATGTGGGCGTTCCAATTGAAACACACAACGTGCACAGGTGGGTGGGGAGTCAACAATCATTTTCCTTCAAGAATGGAATTGAAATAGTAACAACAGCAACAGCAGTAACAACAACATCCCCAACAACACCAACAGCAATAACAACAACAGCAGCAGCAACAACAGCAGCAGCAACAACAACAGCAACGACGACGCCATCAAACACAACACGGACCAAACGTAACAACAACAGCATCAATAACAATAACCATCATGTTGCGGCCGTTCGTTCTGACTTGCTCGCGTGCCATTCAACACGTATATTCCAAGCTCTCGGTGCCCGCTCTCGTCATATTCGATCGTACCCCCTTTGGGGTACATCTTCCTTACCTGCCGCGTGTGATTGGCGCAGCCACTGAAACAGGTGAAGAGAGGATGGATGGAATGGGGGAGGGGGAAGGATGGAGCACGGGATTAGAAGGAGGGTAACTAGGAGCATAAGGCACGTGGCAGAACCAGACGGGCCTATCGGGCGGGTAGACCCTAACGGGCGGATCGGCAAGGCGGGCCCAGGCGGCCAGGTCGAGAAGGCGTGTTGCTGAAGTGTGAGTATTGCATGGATCGCGAGGGAATCTCGAGCGACAATGCGATTCCCAAGTAATCTTGAGAAAGGCCCGCGCGGGAGTGATTCCTGAGAGTCGAGGGCGCGGCGTCCGTATAAATTGCGAGGAAGTCCCACGCGAGAGCGCGACTCCTGTATGAATTGTGACGAGTCCCGCGCGAGAGCGCGAGTTGGAAATAATTGGTGGGAAGTATCAGGCGGGAGCCGTTGTTGTTGTAACTCGGGGGCCAAGGGCAGTTGGGTGACACCCAGCTTTCCCTTGTAAATAAAAAACAGAGTGCGAGCCCCGCGGGAAGCACTTCATTTGAAGCGTACAATGTTTATTGGGGGATCTGCAACAAGTCTTCTTTCGACAGAAATCGGCAACCACAGCAAGCAAAACCAACAAACACAACACCACCACCACCAACGACAACAACAACAACAACAGCCTCAACTGCAACACTAGCAGCAACAACAGCTAACAACACAAGCAACAACCAGCAAACAACCGCTAACATACAACAGCCAGCAGCCAATAACCATGAACCGCGACCATCCACACCAACAACAACAAGCACACCAGCAACGTCACCACCACCAACAACAGCCACAACAGCAACAGCAGCAGCAGCAACAGCAACAACAACACCGGCAACAGCAACAGCAACAACACCGGCAACGACACCATCAATCAGTGCATCAACGACACGGCTCGAGCCATTTGGGCCCGCCTCCTCTCGGCGCACCGCGCTCCTCTCGGCGCACCGCATTGCGCCTCTCGGCGGCCACCGCGCCCCGCCCGGGAGACCCTATAAGGTAGGCCCCCCGGAGGCGCGGGCCGCGGCCAGAGGGCTCAGAGTCGATCAAGAGTGGCCCTCCGCCGGAGTTTACCAGCCTCGAACGTATCCCTATCCCTAAGATTGACACGCCAAAAGGCGATGACAATCTCAGGGATTCGCCCTCAAAAGTAAGGGGATCCCTAAGATTGGCATCGTGATGAGGCGATGCCGAACGTGGGGATAGGGATATGTTCCAGGCTGGTAAGGAGTGAGCTCTTGCAGGGAAGCGAAGAGAATGTCGGGGGTGGGCAGACCTCCTACCCCGACACGTCGATTCGCGAATGGGCCCCTTTCGGCTCGCGAGAGGGCGTCGCGGCCGTCATTATTGCGGGTCCAGGTCCGTCGATTTCGGCCTTAGGCCGTTTTCACTAAAAGGAGGTTTGTCCACCGCCGAAACGAAGAATGACATAAACATAAATTATTCGGAGGTCCGCGCGGATTTCTCGGATCGGCGCTGCGCGTCCCGGCGGCGCCTCCGGCGCCGCCGCTGGCGCGCGAGGGGGGGTCCAGCGCGGATCCGAGAAATCCGCGCGGACTTCAGAGTCTTTCTGTTTATGCCACTCTTCGTTTCCCTATTCTGGTGCGGGGCTCACAGGGCCCCCTCCCCTAGCACTGGCAGTGCTGGGGGGGGAGGCACTGAAGGGCAGTGCCAACTCAAAGCGTGAATAGCAGTGACTGCCCTCCGCGCTTGGCTTTGGCTTGCCCTTCGGCGCCCCGCGGCCGCGCACCGGAGGCCACGCCGTGCCCACGGGTCATACCTCCTCCTCCCCTCTCTCCCCTCCTCCCTCCTCCTCCTCCTCCTCCTCCCCCTCCTCCTCCTCCTCCTCTCCTCCTCCTCCCCTCCTCCTCCTCCTCCTCCTCCTCCTCCTCCTCCTCCTCCTCCTCCTCCTCCTCCTCCTCCTCCTCCTCGGCAGAGGCGCGCCCCCTGGGCGCCACTGCGCCGCCATGCCGGCGGACTGCGGCGCCGAGTCGCGGGGCGTCGGCGCCGCGGGCGTGCCGCGCGCGGTGGTCGCGCGGCTCGCGCTGCTCGCGGGCGGCGCGGGCCTGCTCTTCGGGGTGGACCTCGGCGGCATCGGCGGCGCGCTGGCGGGCATGGAGGAGGACCTGGGCGTGGTCGGCGCGCAGGTGCAGCTGGTGGTGTCCGTGGCCAGGGCCGGCGCCGTGCTGGGCTGCCTGCTCGGCGGCAGCCTCGCGGCCGTCCGGGGGAGGCGGGCCGCCATCGAGGCGGCGGTGCTCCCGTTCGTGTTGGGCCCCCTGGCGATCGTCTGCTGCCGCAGCGTGCACGCGGCGGTCGTGGGGCGCCTCGTGCTCGGGGTGGGGCTGGGGATTGCCACCGTGTCGACGCCGCTGTACCTCAGCGAGGTTCAGGAGGGGAAAAAACACACAGACCAATTCATCGTCGATTCCCTAGAAAATATGGGAAAATATGGGAAGTGGGGGGAAAGACAAAAACCGATAAAATATGGAAAATTACGGGGAATCCTTTTATTTGTGTGTATTGATTTGTGTGTCCCAGGGCCCCTTCAGAGGTTTCCCCGCCGGCCATCAGAGGGCAGCTGGTGTCGCTGTTCGAGCTCGCGATAGCGCTCGGGTTCCTGCTGGCAGCCTTTGCCGTCTGGGCGATCGAGGAGTACGTGGCGCCATGCCCCGGCGGCTGCTGGCGCTACCAGGCTGGAGTGCTCCCTCTCTGCATGGCCGTCCCCCTGGCACTGGCGGTGCGGTTGGTGCCGGAGTCTCCTCGGTGGCTGCTCTCGAGCTCGTGCAGGCGGCCAGATAGGTTCGTGGTCGCGCTGGAGGCGATGCTGAGTGTCGGCCGGTGGGAGGCTGGAGAGCGGCTGAGGCGTGCCGGATGGGCCGACAGGAAAGAGGGCAGCGATGAGGAGCATCTGACCGCCAGCACAGAGGGCAGCGCAGACGACCTGGTCGTTCTATGGGACGAGCAGCACGCGGCGGCGGGGTCGCCCCTGTGGGCGGAGGCAGAGACAGCATGTTGCAACGGCGGCGACGCACCCAGTCAAGGCACCGACAGCGAGACCACCAGCGGTTGCTCGGAGATCCTGGCAACCTTGGGCGCACAACTCCAGGACATATTTGGCATGGCAAGTGGCGCAAAGGCACTACCGGATGGAACGTCTCGGGCAATGGCATTGGCGACCATAACGACGACACTGAACATGGCGTGCGGGTCAAGCGCAATATTGGTTTACGGGCAGATGATGATTGGCTTGTTGGGAGTCCAGTCGAAGATTGTGCAAGACCTCCTGGGTCTACTCCTGGCCCTGGCAAAACTGCTGGGCGTGGTGGCTGGGCTCGTCATCGTGAAGCACTGTGATCGTCGTCACCTGCTGGGCTTGGGGGGCGCATCCTGCATGGTTTGCCTGCTGGTGGCGACTGCCGGCACTTTCACAAATCTCCTTCCCGTGGTCCTCGTTGGCCTGTGCGGCTTCCTGTTCTGCTTCTTCTGCTCCTGGGGCACGGCGACATGGGTGGTGGTGGCCGAGCTGACCGCTGGCTTCGGCCCCAGGTATGGCAACGCCTCTCAAGCAGCAGCGACCGCAGCGCTCTTCCTTGCCGGGTGGGTCGCAGAATATCCGGTGGCTTTCGGCCAGCCCCGCCACGGTGCGTGGGTCGTGGACGAGAGGAGCCTCTCGGGAAGCCAGTGGGCCTCGTGGGGACTTCTTGTTCGCCTCGGGAGGGCCTCTTGGGGGCCTCCTTGGGGCCTCTCGGGCGCCTGTTGGGAGCCTCCCGGGGGCCTCTTCGGGATCCTGCTGGGGCCTCCCGATGACCCTTGGGGGCCTGCCGGCGGTCTCGGCGGCCATGTTGGTTGACCTTGGAGGAAAGGACCCGGAGAGTCTATTTATGTTCCCATGGGGCTGTCTTGGGCCCTCTTGTGGATCTCGGGGGCCGTCTTGGGGCGATATTCGGGGCGTCTTGCGCCGTCTTGGGCGCTCTTCGGACCCAGTGAGCATGCGAATATCACACATACATGAATCTGGCGCAACCCAAGTTAGGGGTCGTCGTTCTTCCAAAGCTTGTAAGTTCCCAGCCGTGCAGAATGGTATGTCAACACATAGGCAGCAAAGTATTGGCAACATGTGAATCAAGTACGCATCGAAAATACATTGTTCTAGAAACATACGATTTAAAACAGATCAGTGTGAACACAGTGTGAGAAAAGTATTGCTTTACGAGATTCAGATGCGCATTCGTACACCTGCACACTTTCCACACTTAGAACGCACATTTCAACTGAAGAGGCTTGCGCCATTCCGCCGATGCCCAGGGGCAAGATGGAGTACACGGGTGGGCCTTTGGGGGGCCCTCTGGGGCCTTTCCAGGCCTTTAGGGCTTTTATTGCGCGCCTGCTGGCGGTCTCGGGGGTCCTCTTGGGGCCATGCTGGGGTCTTGGTCCATCTTGGGCGCCTCGTGGGCCGTCTTGGGACCCGCTTCGGCCGTCTTGGGGGGGCCTCTTGGGGCCTCCTTTGGCTGCCTTGGGGCGATCTTGGGGGCATCTTGATCTGTCTTGCACGCTGTTGAAACAAACATTGCGAACATACGTAACATAGACGCTTGCCTGACAGGTTTTTAGGATCCGTGTTTCTTTCGGTTCTCTCTGGGGGTCGTCTTGGAGCCCTCTTGGGGCGTCTTTGAGGCCTCTTGGGCAGCCTTGAGGCCATCGTGGTTGTCTTTGGGGACTCCTCGGCGTGTTGGAGCCCAGCTTGAGCCAGGTCAGATGGCAGCTTGAGCATCCTGGAGGCCACGGAGTGTAGACTTGGAGGCTCCAGGGGGGTGCGTTGACGAGCTCGTCCCCCCCCCCTCTCTAGTTGGCTTTCAGACCCCAGGGCAGGGGGAAAGGGGGAGGGGGACAGCCAATCATCTCACGCGCCAATCATCTCATGCGGATTTCGTCACATCTTGCATGCACTTAGGATGCGCCTCTGTACTCATTTTAGTATTGTTTACACTTAGGATGCGGAGTCGCATTGGCGTTCGTACTTCTACCGTACTGCGTTCGTACTTTCACATTTGTTCACGCCTACGTCGGTCTTGTTTCACACTCGCAGTACTTGTTTTACACTCGTATTTTCGATCCGTATTAATTTCACACTCGTGCTTTCAATTCGGTCCTTTCTCGAGCTCGAGCCATTATTGCAGCTAGACATAGGGAATCACCAGTCTGCGCTGCGCGGGAACGTACAGTCCAGAGGATTTCGAAACAGTTCACAGCTACGCAACTAATGCAAAGTATTGATTGACATTATTTGGAAATGCGTTGCACTGGTTGGCAATTCATGATAGTGCTTGGTTTTCTTGTCGAAACTTGGCATCGCTTGAC